ACCAGCATCCCAAATAGCGACACCCCAAATATCGACACCCACAAACACCAGCACCCACAAACCCCCAGACCCTGACAGCCCCAAACACTGACCTCCCATAAACACAGGCACCTCCAAAATCCTCCAAACTCCAAAAGCCCCAAACCCTGGCACCCCCAAAGCCCCAAACACAGGCACCCACAAAACACTGGCTCCCACAACCCCCCAGACACCAGTAACTGACACACCAAAACTCCCAAAAGCCCCAAAAGTCCAGTGCCACAAACTCCCAAAATCTGACACCTCGAACCCCCTGCCCCCCACTCAGATATTGGCACCCTCAAACTTTGCAAGCTGAAACACTGGCACCCCAAACTTCAGCACCCCCAAACCTCAGCACCCCCAAGCCTTGGCCCCCAAGCACTCCAACCCCCCCTACACTGAAATACCAGTACTCCAAATCCTGGCATTCAGAGACCAGTGAAACTCTGCCACCCCAAAATCCCTGCAACCACAACCCCCTGAACTGGTGTAACCCCAAACCCTGACACCCTAAAATCCCAGCACCCCCAAAGTCCAAAATCCGAGCACCCCCCAAAATCACAAACCCTGAAACCCCAACACCACAAAACTGCCACAATTCATAGGCCAGGAACCCCAACAGCCCATTATCCTGACACGCCTGTACCTTGACACCCCAACACCCCATTATCCTGACACACCTGTACCTTGACACCCCAACACCCCAGCACCCCAAAATCCCAGCACCCCAGGGACCCTGACAGGCAACACTCTGTGCACCTCAATACCCTGAGCACCCAATACCCTGGCACCTCAATACCTTGCCAGCTGGCCACCCCAAAATCCCCACACCCCGATACCCCTGCACCCCAATACTCGACACCTAGCACCCCAATACCCCTGCCCCTCGATACCCTGATGCCCCAGGCACCCGAACACCCCAATACCCAGCACTCCAACACCCCAGGCACCCCAATACCGCAGGCCCCTGTCAGCACAATGCACCCCAAACCCTCCCCCAAAGATGCCCTTAAAACTCACCCGCTCGGGACCCCCCCAGAAGACCCATCCAGGACCCCCCACTCGGGACCCCCCAAGTCAGCACCCCCTCTTGGGACCCCTCAAAACCACATAAAAACCCTCCCCCCAGCCCCAGGAGCACAACTGAGACACCACAACCCCCCCCAGGATCCCCCTCTGGGGAAACCCGCCAGGAGCTCCCCCAAAACTCCCCCTTGGGGCCCCCTGCCCAGACCCCCCTCCCTGGTTGCCCCCCCGGTGGCTCCAGCCATGGGCCCCCCCGGCCGTGCCTCAGTTTCCCATCATGGTGCCACGTGTCTGGGGAGAGGGCTTGGTCAATTTTGGGGTGACCCCTGAACCCCACTGAATTTCTCGTGTGTGTGTCCCCAGACGCCTCGGTACCCTTGGGGGGGCAGGGGGGACACTCGGGTGACCTGGATCTGGGTCTTTTTGGGGGGGTAATTTGGGGGGTATCGTGTTCCCCCCAGTTCCGGTGCCTGCCCTGGAAGCTTCCAGCGGGGGGAGTGGGGGGGTGCGGGTGCACCCCGAGGCGACAACGGGTGACAGGGGGTGACGTGGGGGGGGTGACGCGGGGGGGTGACGCGGTGGCGCCTGCGCCAGCACCTAAAAATAACCCGCCGAGTCAGAGCCACGCACCGGCACCCAAAATACCCCGGGGGGGGCACGCGGCGGGGGGGCACCCCCAACACACCCACACCAAAAATACCCCCGGGGTGTCTGGGTGGGCACGTGATGGGGGGGAAACACAAAGGGATGACACGCCGGGACCCCCGAACCCACGGCAGGTGTAGGAGGGCGAGCAGGTGGATGGTTTGGGGGGTTGGGGCGGTCAGGGTGGTCCAGATAGTGGGCTCAGGATGCCTGGGGAGGTTCAGGGTGTTGGTGTGCTCCAGGAGGATCAGCGTGGTCCAGGCTGGGGGCTCAGAATGTTTCTGGGGCGGGTCAGGGAGGCCTGGGGGGCAGAGAGTGCTTTGTGGGGGCTTCTGGTGCCCACTAGGGTCTGGGCTCTGCTGCAGCCGGGGCAGAGGAAGATGATGGTGAAGGCTGTGATGAAGGGTCTGACCCCACCAGTGTCTCCTGGGGAGGGGACAGGGAGCAGGCCCATCCCCCTGGCGTTGGCACCCTGAATCCCATGTCCCCCCACCCTGTCCCTGGCTCCGGGTCCCCTTGGGGCACTGGGGCTTGGGGCACTCGGGGTCCTCAGGATGGGGGGACATGGGGAGGGGACTGTCGGCAGCATGGGGGCACAGATGGGGTGGCAGTGGGACAGTAGGGACGTGGCCACGGGGACGAGGGGGACAGGGCTGGCGGGCAAAGGGACAGGGGAACATGGAGTTCATGGATGGGGGACACAGGGGACATGGCCATGGGGACAGTGGGGACACGTGTGGGGCCACATCCAGGAGGGCACAAAGGCAGGGACATGCAGACCCTGGGGGGGTTCCTTGGGTGCCCTGGGGCTATGGACAGGGGTGTGGGGTACAGGGTCCATACTGGTACAGGTGGGTGCTGTGGGGTCCGGGGGGTGGTACTGGGGGGTGTTGGGGGGTCTCGTCTGGGCCGGTGGTGCTGCAGCCCCCAGAGCTCTGTGCTCAGCACGTCGTGCCCACAGCACCCACCCACGGCACCCTGAGAGCCTTCCCACTCCATGGCCACCACCCTGACACTCCATGGCCACCATACCAGACTCATAGACTCCCAGAATCCCTGAGGTTGGAAAAGCCCTCCCAGCCCATGGACCCACCCTGGGCCCCATCCCCACCTTGGCCCCCAGCCCAGAGCACTGAGTGCCACGGCCAGGCCTTCCTGGGACACCTCCAGGGATGGGCACTGCAAACCTCCCTGGGCAGCCCCTGCCAAGGCCTCACCACCCTTTCCAGCAACAAATTCCTCCTCAGCCCCAACCTGACCCTCCCCTGGCCCAGCCTGAGGCCGTTTCCCCTTGGCCTGTCCCTTGTTCCCTGGCAGCAGAGCCCGACCCCCCCCGGCTCCCCCCTCCTGTCAGGGACTTGCAGAGCCAGAAGGTCCCCCCTGAGCCTCCTTTGCTCCAGGATGAGCCCCCCCAGCTCCCTCAGCCACTCCTCACAGGACTTACCTGGCCCCAAACCCCCCATCAGAGCCCCCCAGGCCAGTCCAGGTCCCCCAGAGCTGTGCCAGGCGTGGGGTGGCCCCACGGTGCTGTTGGTCCCTGCTGTGGACACTGGCGTGTCCCCCCGTGTCCCCACTGTGCCCGTAGCCCCCAAGCCCCCCGGCCCTGCAGCGCCCCTGCAGCCCCCCCACCCCCCCGTGTGTCCCCCCAGCCCCTCAGCTCCGTGTCCCCAACGCCCGTGGCTCTGTGGGGGCACATCAGGCACACACTGGGGGACACACATGGGGCCCTCCATGGGGTGCCTGTCCCTGTGGGTCACCAGCCCTGGGGTGCCCGCCTGGGGGTGCCCGTCCCCGTGGGATTCCAGTACAGCACCAGCAGAGCTGACCTGATCCAGTACAGCCCAGTACAGCCCACCACGACCCAGTTCTGCCCAGTACAGCCCAGTACACCCTGGTACAGTATGGCCAGACCCAGTACAGCCCAGTACAAACCAGTACAATCCTATGTGACACAATCCAGTTCAGTACAGCCCAGTACAGCCCAGTAGGAGGATACAGGACAGCCCAGTATGATCCAATACAACACAGCCCAGTATGCTCTAGTATGGCCCAGTACAGGCTAGTACAGCCCAGTATGACCCAGTACAGCCCAGTACAACACAGGCTGGAGGTACAGTCCAAACGGCCCCTCCGTACCCCCCCCCTCCCTATCCCTGTCCCCTTCCTGTGTGCCCCCCGTCCCCATCCCAGTCCCAGAGCTGGACACAACCCCAGGGGTGCTCCAGGGTACCCCCGGGTGTGCATCCCCCATTCCCCACACCCCCCCCAAGGCACAGCCCCCTCGGAGGTGCCCCCTGCCCAACCTCCCCTCCCTCTGTGGGGGTCCCGGGGTGCCACGGTCCTATCCCTGCACTGGTCTTTATAGGCACCCCCAGCCCGGGGGGGCGCCAGCGCCCATAATCCCCCCCCTAAGCAGCTTCTGCTCATCCTTCCTGCCCCCCGAGGGTCCCACGGGTGGGAGGGGCGGGGGGACAGGAAGAAGCTGGGGGTCATCTGGGATTTGAGTCCCCATCAGCACACCCCCAAAGTGACCCCCCCACCCAGGTACCCCCAAAGCGAACCCCCCCCCAGGCACCCCCCAGTTTTTCACCCTCCAATGTGAACATCCCCCTCAGTCAACTCCCCAAGCAGTGCCCCCACCCCTTAACCCCTCCCAGCTCTCCCCACCTCACACGGGGACAATCACTGGGGGGTGACACCAGCGGGGGGGACATCCCGGGGTGCTGGGGAAGGCAGGGGGTGACCTCATGGGGAGGACCCCAAGTTCTTCCTGGGGCAATCAGGGCCAGGCCATCCCAGGGGAGCAGGATCAAGGGTGAGGACCCCCAAGGACACCTGAGGACACCTGGACATCCCAGGGGGAGCAGGACTGAGCTTGGGGACTGCTGGGGACCCTGGTGGGAGCAGGACTAAGGCTGGGGACTCCTGGTCATCCCAGGGGCACCAGGACCAAGCCTGGGGGAACCTGGGGACACCTGGGGACCCCTGGCCATCCTGGTGGGACTAGGACCAAGCTTGGGGGCACCTGGGGACACCTGGGCAAGCTGGGGGGAGCAGGATTGAGCTTGGGCATCCCTGGGGACCCTCCCCACACCCAGGTATGGGGGGGGAGCTCTTCCGCCCCCCCAAATCCCCCCAGAGCCCCGGCAATCGGCTCGGCCTGGCTCAGGGGGCCGATTAGGCGCTGAGCCTGGCTTAGCCCCCCCTAATCCCCAAGTTTGGCCGAGCTGAGCCCTGATCCCCCCTAAGCGGCTTTAGGGGCGCAGGGTATATCAGGGGGGCGGTCGCTGCGCCCCCCCCACCGCCGCCATGGACGAGGAAGAATTCTACCTGTTCAAGAACCAGTCGGGGGTGGGGCCCTGGGATGGGCCCCAGTACCACCTGGCGCCCAAGTGGGCCTTCTACCTGCAGACCATCTTCATGGGGGTGGTGTTCCTGGTGGGCACCCCCCTGAACGCCATCGTCCTCATCGTCACCATCAAGTACAAGAAGCTGCGGCAGCCGCTCAACTACATCCTGGTGAACATCTCCGTCAGCGGCTTCATGTGCTGCATCTTCAGCGTCTTCACCGTCTTTGTCTCCAGCTCCCAGGGATACTTCATCTTCGGGAAGCACATGTGTGCCTTCGAGGGCTTTTCGGGGGCCACCGGAGGTACGGGAGGACCACGGGGGCACCGGGGGCTGGAGGTGATGGAGTGACCACCAGGGCTGCTGGGGCCAGAGGTGATGGGAATGACCACCAGGGCTGCTGGGGCCAGAGATGACCACTATGATCTCCTGTGCTGTGGGAGTTGGGGTGATCACCATGTGCTGCTGGGGTGCAAGACCTGGGGTGACCATCTGGATCTGTAGGAGTTGACCACTATAGTCTGGTGGGGCTGTAGGAGTTGTGGTGACCAGTGGGGTCCGGTGGAGCTGTAGGGAGGGGTGACCACCGCATTCTACTGGGCCTGTAGGAGTTGGGGTGACCCCGTGACCTGGGGGTGCTGTGGGACATGGGGTGACCTGTGGCCCCAGTGGCCACAGGCAGAGTGCAAGACAGTGGCCGTGTCCCCCCAGGGCTGGTGACAGGGTGGTCCTTGGCCTTCCTGGCCTTCGAGCGCTACATCGTCATCTGCAAACCCTTCGGCAACTTCCGCTTCAACTCCCGCCACGCGCTGCTGGTCGTGGCGGCCACCTGGGCCATCGGCATCGGCGTCGCCATCCCCCCCTTCTTCGGCTGGAGCAGGTGGGGCTGTGGGGGCACAGGGGGCTTGGGGGGCAGGGGAGGCCCACGGAGTGCCAGGAGGGAGGTGAGACACCCGGCAGTGCCCCGGGGTGCCATGGGGGTGCCAGGAGGGTGGTGAGACACCCGTCAGTTCCGCAGGGGTGCCACGGGGGTACCATGGGGTGCCAGGGGGTGCCACTTGGTGCGAAGCAGAGGCTGAGCGTGGGTGCTGCAGGTACCTGCCCGAGGGGCTGCAGTGCTCCTGCGGCCCTGACTGGTACACGGTGGGCACCAAGTACAAGAGCGAGTACTACACCTGGTTCCTCTTCATCTTCTGCTTCATCGTCCCCCTCTCCCTCATCATCTTCTCCTACTCCCAGCTGCTCAGCGCCCTGCGGACTGTGAGTCCCAGGGGCACGGGGGGCACGGGGGACACTGGAGCTGGGTGTGCCAGGGAGGAGGGGAGGGGGATGGAGGGTGGAGAGAGGCTGGGAGGGGTGAGAGGGAGGAAGAGATGGAGCGGAGGGAGGGATGGAGAACTGACTGGAAGGAGGGCAGGAGGGAAGGAGGAGGGGGAAGAAAGAGAGGGAAAGGAGGAAGGGAGGGAGGGAGGGAAGAAGGACAGGCTGTTTGATCAGAAGGGTGAGCAGGAGCACAGGCAGGGGGGCAAGCAGGGGATCAGGGAGTCGGGCAGGGGGTTGGGGGGTCAGGCAGGCCCAAGGTGTCCCTGTCCCCATCCCAGGTGGCAGCACAGCAGCAGGAGTCGGCCACGACGCAGAAGGCGGAGCGGGAGGTGTCGCGCATGGTCGTGGTCATGGTGGGGTCCTTCTGCCTGTGCTACGTCCCCTACGCGGCGCTGGCCATGTACATGGTGAACAACCGCGACCACGGCCTCGACCTGCGCCTCGTCACCGTCCCTGCCTTCTTCTCCAAGAGCGCCTGCATCTACAACCCCATCATCTACTGCTTCATGAACAAACAGGTGACACCGTGGGACGGGGGGACACGCGGGGCACCCATGAACACATGGGGTATAAGGGCCATCCAGGGATACCTGGGGACACCCGGGGACACCCGGTCATGCCCAGGGCCACCAACAGGGCTGGCACGTACCGAGGGATGGGACATGGGGCCAACGTGGCATCAGGGGTGTGAGGACAGTGCCAGGGCCGGACATGGGGCCAGTGGGACCCTCGGGCTGAGCTGTCCCCTGCCCCTGTGTCCCCACAGTTCCGCGCCTGCATCCTGGAGACAGTGTGTGGGCGGCCCATGAGCGACGACTCCGAGGTGTCCAGCTCGGCCCAGCGCACCGAGGTCTCCTCCGTGTCCTCGAGCCAGGTCAGCCCCAGCTGAGGGGCTGCGGCACCGCCCTGGCCCCCACGACCCCCGGCTGCCCCCCCAGACCCCCGGCTGCCCCCCAGGACCCCCGGCTGCCCCAGCTGTGGGGCTGGCGCTGCCCCAGGGGTCCGGGATCCCCGGCCAGCCTAGGATGTAGCGCGGGTGGGACAATAAACCATGGCCGCAGTCTGAGCGCAACAGGGACCCTCTGCAGGATGGGGGACACACTGCAGGAACCCCTGTGGGACCCTCGGGATGGGGGACACACTGCAGGAACCCCTGTGGGACCCTCTGCAGGATGGGGGACACACTGCAGGAACCCCTGTGGGACCCTCGGGATGGGGGACACACTGCAGGAACCCCTGTGGGACCCTCGGGATGGGGGACACACTGCAGGAACCCCTGTGGGACCCTCGGGATGGGGGACACAGTGTGGGAACCCCTGTGGGACCCTCGGGATGGGGGACACAGTGTGGGAACCCCTGTGGGACCCTCAGGATGGGGGACACACTGCAGGAACCCCTGTGGGACTCTCAGGATGGGGGACACACTACACACCCCACGGCAGGGCAGGATGGGGGTCCCAGGAGTGACTGTACCCCATAGTTGGGTGGGATGGGGGTCTCAGGGGTGGTTGTGCTCCACAGCAATGCCATGGTGGGACTCTGCTCCCTTGTCCCCTGCAGGCCCCACAGGCAGTGGGGGGGCAGGGAAGTGGGATGCTGCCCCTCCACCTCCATCTATGGGGCTGGGCTGGGGCTGAAGCCCCCATTTATAGGGCTGGGCCGGGGCTGGATCCCCCCCATGGGGCTGGGGTGGGGCTGAGCCCCCCATTCAGGGGGCTGGGGTGGGGCTGGATGCCCTACATGCGGCTGAGGTGGGGCTGGCTCCCCCATCTGTGGGGCTGGTATGGGGCTGGATCCCCCCATGGGGCTGGGATGGGGCTGAGCCCCCCATTCATGGGGCTGGGGTGGGGCTGGATCCCCTCCGTGGGGCTGAGCCCCCAAGTCTCCAGGCTGAGGGCCAGGACTCCCCTCAGGCCCCACATCACTCCCCCCCGAACCCCCAAATCCATCCCCCAGGCCCCCCCCCCTCCCCTTCCCTGGGCTCCCCCTGCCCACACTCTCCCGGCTCACTCTGAGGGGTTCCCCTGGATCCCGGTTTGGGGGGACACAGGAACTGGGGTCTGGCCCCCCGGCCCATGGGGGTTGAACAGTTTATTGAGCCCCGGCCGACCCGGATCCCTTCAATCAGCCAGAGCAGAGAACCGAATAAACCCGGAGGAGGCGAAAAATCCGTGTCCGGAGTCGTCAGTGGGACACAAATCCTCATGGATGGGGGGAAGCAGGAGAGGGGCCGCAGGGGTGCACTGGGGGTGATGCCAGGGGAGCTTTCCTGGTGTTCCCAAAATCACGGCTGCTGTCCCAAATCATCCCTGGTGTCCCAAACCACCCCCCGCATTCCCAGATCCCTGAGCCCAACGCGGGGACACGTTCCCAAACCGTTCGCCCCTGGATTTAGGGATGGGGAGGTGGGAGAGGAGGAGGAGGAGGAGGAAGAGGAGGAAGAGGGAGGATCCAGTCAGCACTTGGAAACCCTTGGAAAACAATTTAAGGGAAAACCCAGGAATCTGGGGTCGGCCAGACCAACTTCACACAGCTCTGGGAGCTGCAGGCAGGGACAAACGACACAGAAGAGGGAAAACATTGGGAATTATCCCAGAGCGGGGTGGATGAGCCCCCCCCCCACGCCCGGGTTTGGGGGATTCAAGGCACTTGGAGTGGGGCCGGGGGGGCCTGGCCAGATCCTGGGGGGCAACGATGGGGGAGGGGGGTTCTCACCCCCCCGGGGTCACCTCCCCTGGGGTCCCCTTTGGGTGCCCCCCAGAACCTCCCGGGGTCCTGCTGCTGCTCTGATGGGTTTGGGGTTTTTTGGGGGCTTTGAATTCTCATTCCAATTTCACGTCAATGTTTCCATTTAATTTGATTTCACTTCCCAAGTTCAAATTCCATTTCAACTTCCAATTTTCATTTTAATGTCTAATTCTAATTTTAGTTTCAATTCCAACTTGAATTCCAATTGTAATTTTAATTCCAATTTTAATTTCCATTCAAATTCCAATTTTAATTCCAATTCCAACTTTAGTTCCAATTTTAATTCCAATTGTCAACTTTCACTCCAATTCCAAGTTTTATTCCACCTCCAATCCCAATCCCGCTGTGAATTCCCCGCTGCCCCGGGCGGCCCCGTCGCTGCCCCCGTGCCGGGGGAGCCGTTTCCACACGTGGTAAAACCAAAACATACAAAAATAACCCAAAAGTCGTTAAAATCCCAGGAAAACCCACAAGACGAGCCCCAAGTGCCGGGGAGGGTGTGGCTTTCCTGAGCCCCATCCCTGGGCGCCGGGATGGGGTTTCCCGTGGCGGGAGCGGCCTGGGCGCGGGCGCAGCCCTGAGCAGGTGCCGGCGAGGCCTAGAACTCGTCGTGCCGCACCAGCGCCTCCCCGAAGTCCGTGGCCTGGCTGCCCACGAACAGGTCCGACTTGTCCACGATCTCCTCCCGCGTCAGCTTCCCGTCCTGCAGGGAATGCCACATCCCGCTATTCCCCCCGCTCCTCCCACCCTGCTCCCGAAATCCCACCGGAGCGCGGGCCCACCTTGTCCTGGTCGGACTCGTAGACGAGGTGCCGGGCCTCGGCCTCAGCGTGGTCGTAGTCCGAGGGCAGGATCCAATCCTTGGTCTCCTCCTTGTCCATCTTCCCATCCCGGTTCTTGTCTCGGAATTCCACAAACTGTTCCCGCTCCGTCTTCACCCACTCGGGCTCGTCAGCATCGCCATCCTGGCTGTACATGTCACCTGTGGGGAGAGTGGGATCGGGATCCTCCCGACCACCATAGCCCCGTCCCCATCCCAAGGACTGACCCAAAGCCTTGAGCTCCCTAAGTCCATCCCCAAAATCCCAAAGTGCCCTTTGGATCAGGATTTCACCCCAAAATCCTCAACAGTGGCACAAGGTGGGGTGCAGAAGTTAAGAAGTTGGAAGAGAGAACATTCCCAGAGGAGGAGAGATGGGAAGGATGTGCCGGCAGCGGCTGACACTGCGTGGGGAAATGGAAGGGACATGGAGCACCGTGGCTCTGGCGTCTCACCGATGTACTCCTCCAGGTCGATGAAGCCGTCACCGTTCTTGTCAATGTCCTCCATGGTTTCCTGCATGGAGACACCGGCGTGAGCCAGGCCTGGAGTGATTCCCACCCCCCAGTGCTCCCCTCCCCAGAGCTTCCGGGGAACACTCCATTCCCAACATCTCCGTGCCAGCCCCACCTGCACGACGATGTCCTTCATGTAGTCGTACTCCTCGGGGTGCAGGAAGGCCGTGAACTCCTCCTTGGTGGCCGCCAGGTCCCCGTCCTTGTCGGCCATCTTGAAGCGCCGCTCGTCCCGCACCATCATCTGTTTGTAGTTGAAGCCGTCGTCGGGGTCCGGATCGTCTGGGAAGGAGCAGAGGGAGCACCCAGATCAGCTCAGGCAGGGCAGAGACCATGGTCACCACCAACCCAAGCCAACCCCAAGCATAACCCAACTCAACCACAGCCTCAACATCCTCACCCTCAACTCAAACTCAACCCCAGCTCAACCTCCTCAGCAAGCCCTTCTCACCCTCAACCTCCTCCACCCAACCTCAACCCCCCACCTCAGCTCAACCCCCCAGTGCTTCGCCACCGCAGCCTCAAGGGCAGCTCCCGGCAGCCACCGCGTCTCTCCTGCGCCCGTTCCCAGGAGGAGGAGGAGCTGCAGCAGCCCCGGGATCGCGGCATTCCCAGGGAGAGGCCCCAGCAGACAGGGCTCGGGGGGTTTGGCCGGCACGGTTGGAGGCTCAGCCGGAGCTATTTCGGGAGGGGAATGTGTAAGGGGATCTCGCTCGCTGCCGGGGCGGCAGCAGAGCCGGGAGGCATCGGCCGGGTGGGATGGCGGGAACACTCAGCACAGCCCCGCCGGCGGCGGGAGAGGAGCTCCGGGACACGGGGCCGGCAGCCTATGGAGAACATGGATCCAGGAGGACATGGCTGTGGCCACGTTCTGGTTAAGTTAAACCAGAGCCAGGCCTGGTCTACAAAACAGGCTCCAAAAGGCTCCGTCCCTTTGTCCCTGCTCTGCTACCTGGGACAAAAGGCAGGGATTACAGAGCTCTGGATCAAGGGACTCTGGATTAAGAAGCTCTGGAGCAGCCCCAGAGACATTAAATATCCAAAGATTTTGATTTTAAGGCATGTCTAGGGTAGAATGAAGCCAAAATTCCCTATTCTATTCCCAAGGTTTTGCCTTGGGAAGCGGCACAGACCCAAGCAAGGAAATCCTCGGGATTGGGCCCATTCCTTATTTGCTGTCTGGCCAATCCATGAGTTTGATGGAGGGCAGGGGGCAGGTGGGTTAAAAATGGTCACACACATTCCCCCCCAAGACCCCCAAAGCCACTTTGTGTCTCGGTCCCTGGGCAGGGGGACGTTTGGGGGAGCAGATGGAGAAGCTTCTCCTGGAATGAGTGTTCCTGGTTTCAGATCCCACCCTAGGACTCAGGAGTTAACAAAAATAGGATGATGATGATGATGATGATGATTCGGATCCCACCCCAGGACTGAGGAATTAACAAAAATGGGATGATGATGATATGATGATTATCATTCTATTTTGATTTTGAAGGGAGTTTCAAAGGGATTTCCACTCTCAGATGAAGCTCTTGGACATTCATCACTTGGTATTCCCTGCTTCCTGTAATTCCCCCAGCAGAGCCCCGCACCGCTCTGTGACACCTCTGGGGGCCACCTGGTGACTCATCCCCATGTTTAATTAATTAATTCATAAAACCATCCCCCCCAGCACCTGGTTTTGCTGACGAAACGCTGTGTTCCCAACCCCTGGAGCAGTCAAGGGCGGTGCCCGGCCCCACACAACCCTCGGCTGCACGCCAACACTCCGGAGGCACTTCCAGAGGCATTCCAGCCCTGCTCCGGCCAGGGAGGGGACTGAG